TTCGATTCCTCGCACGCTGCAAACATTTGTATTCGTGAGTAGGATTGTTTGTAACGGTCTGGGTGTTTTCTATGTATAGATAATATATATGTATTTACGAAAAAAATCTTTGTATTTATATCAGTTGTCTAGTACCCATAACATAATCTTCAGCTAGCTTAACTTGGGTCTAGATGAAGCTGTGTGAATTGTCCTGAGATTACTATTATTATTAATTGGTACACAGGTAAACTACTAACTAGGCCATATTGGTGTTGTTTGTTATGGTGAAAAAACTAGTATATATATAAGTTACACGTACAATTTCAAAGACTTATTTCTTCAAAACTACTAGCTATTCTGAAATAAAACTTTAGGGTTTGTATATGTAATGTTTGCATATAAAATATGATTAAAGGTTACCAGTGTATTTACACTTTTACTGAACAAACAGAGTTGTTTAATAGTGAAAATATTGTGTGGAAGACATCAATTACTTTCAGTACATGTATAGCTTTTCTCTTTTCCTAATTATTATTATTATTAAGTTTAAAGTGGTTGAATTTTACGTAAGGGGTATTTATACATTATTTCTAATTTACCATTTATTTTAAGTTTTTTAAACTCTATTCATCGAGACCTATCTAATGAGTCCAAACACGATATTTCTGCTGTACATAAGTTTTCGAAGAGTATGTTCATCATCTGATAATACTGGTGCCAGCATGAAGTCAAGGTTAACAGATAACTAATTACTTTTATTTCGTCAAAATCTTTAGATTACGTATAATAAATTCATAATATCGCTACCTATTCAAATCAAAACAAGTATTAGGTACTTCATGTACTAGTATATAAATTCATCAACACACAAGTAAATGATTGTTAAATATATTCAGAGCCAAAAAATCTTTGTGCATTTAAAAAAATTGCCGATACGGATTCACTATTGCAGGAAATTGTTGAAAAAATATATATCGCGTATAGGTATCTACTACTATCGACGAATACATTTGGCAACAACGCGCAACATATGCGATGTTGCCGTTCCGGCCGAGACCATGCCGGAACGGCAACATCGCATATTAGAATACAAAGATAGTGATAGAAAGAGAGAGACAGTGGAATCAGCAATATCTACGGATCGTGGCTGGATCAACTAAGTGTGCAAGTTTATATAAATGTATATATATATATATACATTTGTCTTTAATTCAAAGGAAATATAAATAATGAACGCATCACATTTAAAACAGTATAAATAGTTAATAATTTAATAATAAGTTAATAGTTTAATAAGTACGTACGTAATATTATCACATGGTAACAGCACGTATTATGGCAAAAATAAACATCGGCTGATTTGAAAAGATTTATTATAGTAATAATAGTAATCTCAGGACAATTCACACAGCTTCATCTAGACCCAAGTTAAGCTAGCTGAAGATTATGTTATGGGTACTAGACAACTGATATAAATACAAAGATTTTTTTTCGTAAATACATATATATTATCTATACATAGAAAACACCCAGACCGTTACAAACAATCATACTCATGAATACAAATGTTTGCAGCGTGCGAGGAATCGAACCCTCGACCACCAAGCAGGAATCAAAGCAGTGTGCTAGCTAAATCGCTAGACTACCGACAACTAGCTGTACACGCGACTTCGTCCGCGTGGAATTTAACTTCTTATATTTTAGAAAAATAAAGTTAAATTCCACACGGACGAAATCCCGTGTACAGCTAGTCATCAATAAAAAAACACGTAGGTATCTCTAATATATTATACAGTAGCTGTTCCCGCGACTTCGTCCACGTGGTTTTTAACTTTATTTTTCTAAAATAAAAGTAGCCTAAGTTACTAGGTAGTAGCCTTATTACATCAGCTACCTGCCAAAAAAAGTCCCGTCAAAATCGGTCCAGCCATTTCAGAGATTAGCCGGAACAAACAGACAGACGGACAAAAATTGTAAAATATGTTATTTTGGTGTATTATGTACCGTATTTATATTCATATGCAAGTAGTAAAAAACGGTTATTTCAATATTACAAACAACAGGCTTCAACATTCTCAAGTACCACAAAAAAGATGTTTTTATTAAAAACAAGCTGTTCCCGCGACTTCGTCCGCGTGGAATTAAACTTTATTTTTCTAAAATAAAAGTAACCTAAGTTACTCCTTATAAATCAGCTACCTGCCAAAAAGAAGTACCGTCAAAATCGGTCCAGCCATTTCAGAGATTAGCCGGAACAAACAGACCGACAGACAGACAGACTAAAATTATAAAAATTGTTATTTTGGTATATGTACCTTATATATATTCATATGCATGTAGTAAAAAACGGTTATTTCAATATTACAAACAGACACTCCAATTTTATTTGTATGTATAGATGTATAGATTATTATTTATTTATTTATTTATTCATCCAAAATAATACAAATTGTGTAGGATAACGTAATAGTAACATTACAGTAAAATTTTGTCAACAACATAATAGCAACTTAAATATTAAATCTCGGTATATCTATAGACTAGCTGGCCCCAGCGACTTCGTCCGCGTGAAATTTTATTTTATTTTTCTAAAATAACAGTAGCGTAAGTTACTCCTTATTACATCAGCTACTTGCCAAAAAAAGTCCCGTCAAAATCGGTCCAGCTATTTCAGAGATTAGCCGGAACAAACAGACAGACAGACAGACAAAACTTGTAAAATATGTTATTTTGGTGTATGTACCGGATTTATATTCATATGCAAGTAGTAAAAACGGTTATTTCAATATTACAAACAGACACTCCAATTTTATTTACATGTATAGATGTATAGATTAAAAAAAAAGTAACAGTCATAAGGCTAGTCGTATGCCTAATATATATAATAATGTAATAAATTCATTTAAACAGAAATTGCGGCAACATTATTTAAATTTGTAACTTTTTTACTGTCCTTCTCCATTTTTCACATCTTTCTGTTATATCCCTATAGTTCTCTTTATATATTTTCTGTTTTTCTTACTTTCAATTTGAGACTGTACTTATAATTTGATTATCAGATCATTATGTATTTATTAGATATTAACTATTATATTATGCATAAAAAATATTTGTAATAATAAAGAAAATACATTTAAAATGTTTTACTTGTTGTGTTAGTTATTTATAAGATCTTACTATAATTGTTAGCTGCTTTACAATTTAGAAAGTACAATAGGTAATGTAAATTAAAATTAATTGAATACTTAACAACGTTTTGTTCGATTAAATTCATTTAATTATTAAAATAGTTAATTTAAAATTAGAATAAAGACAAAAAAAAAATAACAAAAAAAAATTTGAATAACAAATAAAAATTTAAAATTAACAAAAATCATTTTGAAATAATACTTAGGGTTCGCATACCCTTATCGGATACTACTACTACACGGAGTTTCGTCAAAATAAAATATCTAGGTTAGGTATAATAAATTCATAATTAATAGACCGTTACGGTATCTGTATATATTCCGATCAAAACAAGTACTATGAAATAAGAACGAGTATATAAATTGATTAACACAAGTAATTGATTTTTGAAATATATTCAGAGCCAAAAAGTCTTGTTTCTTTATTTATGTACTTGTTAGATGCGACAGCGACTTTGTTTTATACTATACTATGTAATGATTGATATACCTAAAATAAATAAAATATCTGAGGTTTGGACAAAAACTCAAAGGGTAATTTATTTTGAAAAAGTATTTTGAAAATACCTATTTTGCTTTTATTGTTATAGTACTTTAACTGTTATGTTTTAAGTAACAATGTTTAATTATAATTAATACTACTGCACCAACACTCCGATCGTGCAAAAAAATTTGCTGTTTCATTATTTTTTAGTTCAATTAGTGGTCTACCTAAGTCCTGGGCTAAGGGGGGGAGAGTCATGACGCCCCCATGACTCCCATGACCTCCATGACGCTCCCCCCTGGATCCGCCGTTGCGTCTTCTCTTTATTCGCTCAGTAACTTTGTTACAAAAGAAAAGATTCCCGTCCAAAAAATAATAAGTATTGAGGTTTGATCTGGAGTCACGTTACTCCAGACTGATTTCTATAAATATTTAGATTAGATAGACTATTACTCTTGAAATACTAGCTAGACATTATTAAGTTACTGTAGCCATAATGTAGTAGCCCAAACGTGCCAATGAGGAAGCCCTTGGCAAATGCTGCACCCTGATTGGCCCGTTTGAATTGGATCAAGAACTGCTCGTATGCCAAAAAGGTGGATTTGTATAAAATCGTGTATAAATCGCTTAATTATTATTATTACTCGTCGTGACAGTTGTGGCTCAAAACGGATCAACATTTATATATGGTCAGCTGGCATTAGATCAACAAAAGGCCTCCGGATCAACAAGTGAAAAAGGATCAACAAAAAACTACCTATACGGCACGTCTGAGCCACAAAGTGCCCAAGGGGATATTTATATATATATATATATATATATATATATATATATATATATATATATTGTATATAGTATAATATATAGTAATGTTACTTAAAATTTGAATGTCTACTTATTAATAGTCTGCTTCACACCAATCCCAAATAATGGGATAAAGGAAGGCAATGATGATTCTAATTAACTAGTTAATATGATAACAATTGTATAAACAAACATATCAATAATGTTTTAAATTTATTAGAATAAAATACAAATGTAGCTACCAGATGCTGGTATTGGGACTTTCAATAATTTGTTAAGTATTAAAGAAGCTTGCTTAGTATTTTCCTAATACACTTTATTCCAACATTTTTACAGTCATCTCACATTGAATTTGTACCAATCATCATATCATTGATATCAATGTATCCCTAGACACAATAACAAAGTAACCCTAGTTCAGGTCTCTATAATTCTTCTTTTGGGTAGAAATTTGCTGCATGCAAACATGTAGTGCAACAAATTAATTATATTTTCTAGTCTAGTTGTGTGTTTCTACTCAAGATTATATAAAACATACACACCTGATTGATGACGGTAACTGGCATTTGTTATCTTTTTATAATTCAATCTTCCTTCTATTGTACAAGGTTGATCACTCAGATGAGCGAGTTCGCGTATATTACACTTCATTTTGTAATGGTTAATTCACATTATCAAACAAATTATATACTAAAAATTTTACACATTTATGGGCACTATTTCCCAGTCAAGTCATTGTTAAAGCCCTTCAGAGCTTGCAATGTTAAGTTACAAGTACAAAATCTTAATGTTTGACTAGGGTTATGAGAGAAAGATAGTTCCATTTATATCAACACTTCATAAATTAAATAGACAAGAGTATAAAACATCTACAAAAGTTGTACAAATATGTAAAATTTTTTGGTACAGTTTGTAATTTTTTTGTGTAATCACTTATTTAATGTCGTTATTTCTAATTACTTAAAACGTACTTGACATTATTTATAGACAAGTATACAATTTTGGAAATTAATTATAATATAAATAAGAAAATATCAAATTGTGAATAATATATAGCCATTTTATAAATTTAATTATATTGCAATTATAGTATCAGTAAATTGACAGATAAATGTCAAATATTTCAAATAATGTTACCAGTTATAGCCGGTAGTGTTGTACTTGTGATGAATTCACCAGAAAATTAGATTAATTTGTTCCCCCTGAAAACCATCGTGATAAATACCACGAATTTGCCACGATGGATTAACTGACCAGACGTTGTGCTCATATTATCATTCTCTACTGATGCCACACCAGCGTAGATACCCCAACGATAAGGCAGACCGCATTATCATTTTTAAAAAATCTGCTAAAGTTTTATAAATAATTGGAAAAATAAGAGTATAATAGAAGTAGAGAATGTTGACTAGGGAGACATCATACAAGACAATAAAATACATACAGACAAATACACAACATATATATTTTTCTATGACAGTACATTATAGACGAAAACAAAATACAATTATACATACACGTCTGTGCCATTAGGATTCCTTAATTGTACACATTAAATATTGAATACAACTAAACATGTTTTTTTAATGGATTAACTACTTAATGGATGTACTTTATTTCTTTATTGTAATAACTATAGTTCAGCGAGTAAGTAGCACATCTGTATGGTAATACAAATATGCTACTTACTCGCTGAATTATAGTTGTAATACAGATGTAACAAAGTTTATATAAATATAAAGTCCTCCTTAAAAATAAAACAAAATCAGTATAGTTACCCTTTACTTTATCCTTTATTATTCTGATTAGGGCAATATTCATAATTTTTATGTACCATTTAATGTTTGTTCAGACTTCTTAATAATCATACAAACTACAGAGATTGTCGAACATGTCTTTAGCGTTTTCACAGTTGGTTAAAAGTTATGTTTTTATCAATAGATGTCATGATAACAACCAGCGCATGGGCGTCTTTTCTAATCGCCATCGTCTTCTGTTAGTACTGGCATTGTACACTGGACAACAATTGCTCGTTTCTTTTTATCTACTATTCTTGGTTACATTGCTGTATAGACACGTATTAAATAGTTTCATAGAGACCAGTGGGCTAATTATGTAAAGGATGTTGTTTTCTACCTGAAAGCCTCTCACAGATTGGTAGCAGTGTCGTTTGCAATAAAATGGCATCTGCGTCGAGTTTCCGTAATGTAGTGAAAAAACATTGTCACCCAGTACTGATGCGGCGGCAACGACGGAATTTAATAGAGAGGACTTAAAGGCAAGAACTGAATTTCTACTTTTACTGTCACCGTCAGAATTCAAGCAAATTTGCTTGTATGACATATGAAGTAGTTTAGGAGAAATTAAAATCATAACATAAACAATTAAACACAAATAGTAGGTACACTTTTACTACTAAAAAATATTAAAATCTATAAATTAATAAAGGGGGGCTGCTAATTTTCGGTTGGCCCCAAGTAGGAAGCGGCCTGGGGACTTCACTACCTGTAACCATTGTAGCGGGATACTGTACAGACTTCTTATTTTATATCATACGCCCAGCCATTTATACCGTTAGTGTAAGAGGATATTTCGTTCATTCCTCATTAAAAAAACAATATAGTCGAGACAGTTGTTTCCCGTAAATAAGTATATTCACTACGATAAAGCTAGAACAAATATAGGTAATAATGCAACGACAATATATGTACGGGTAAAGGAGTCAGAACTAGGCGATATAGAAAGAAAACAATTGTAATTACTCATTTATTTTTAACTTTTAGTACAAAATAAAACTAGTACACAGGGATACATCTCAAACCTAGCATTTGCAATGTTGAATAGTCCGATGCTTACGACAATAAGTCTTCTCATTTGTACTATTTTAGACACTATAACGTCACACAGATTTGCTCATATTCCCCATTAAAAATAAAACTACGTCATAACTGAATAATGCAATCACTCTTCGAGTCAATCTGGTCATAATAAATATGTATTATGCCAAGATCACTACCTTAATATTGGTAAGTCTGAACCCATTTACATATTCTTAAAGGCTTACTTAACATACACATAGATATACAATTTTGAGGTTTGGAGCGGCATTGATGAATTTTTCAGGCACAATCAAACCAGTGCATACCAATATTTAAAATACACAACACGACGACTCTATTCTAAGAGCATTTAATACAGCAAACGCGCTTTAATGACCAACACACTTTAAATAAGAGTAAGTCAAAATGTTGAGCCTACCTTATAAGAAATTGTGCCATAATTTGACTTCTGTTTTTAATACCCTTTAGTATAAATTCTCCAGATCAGAGGGTCGTTTATGTATTATAAATATTTATTACTTTGAATATCTCTTTCATTAACGTCTTCGGTCTCAAATTAATAATATTATTATTATTATTACCATTGCTCAAATTTTAGAATTACTAAATACACTATACACAGTCATATTAATATTTCAAATCAAATGCTTATTACTATAATAATTTTATGTGCAAAATGTAGCAAAATTAAATTTACTTGCTAAAAGTATTTGCAATCTCTGCCAATACTAACATCCTTAACAATTAAAGTATTTTAGTTTTCAATATAGATGTTTATTGTTCATTTAAATTAATTTGTGGAAACAAGTCTTAAACATTTCAAACAAAATAATATTTTGATTATATGTGGAAACAAGTCCTAAACATTTAAAACAAAATAATATTTTGATTATACGTTGTTCCAAGATTGATTTGATTGCAATGGTAAACAGAACATATACACAATAACACCAATGATGAAAAGTTGTTACTAAATTCAATTGAAATATATTTTGATCTGTCCGATTTACGTATAGGAAATTAAATCATATATTAAGGATAACTTATTAAGGATATATAAGTTGTATATATTTTGAACATCATATAGAGAGACAAAGAGATGTCTCTATAACTATGTACTTCTTTACAGAAATTATTACTTGTCTTGTAAACTAATAACAATTAATCCCCTAGTTTTTTTTATAATAATGTATAACAGCTATCTACAATGAATCATTACTAATATTTTTAAATTTAGAAAACTGATCTATGAATATGATTTTAAATCTTACACCTAAAAGGCGGATAATTTTCGTGAGCGATTATGGATAAAAAATATTTTATGTGCTTACATGCATCGTTTACAATGGTGTATTGATATACATAAAAGTCATGTTTTACCTTTAGTGAGCGAAAATCAATTTATTGTGGTTAATTACAGTTCGGCAATATAGTGTCATCGTCCGAGTACCATCCTACATCCTAATGGTGACACTACATACTTAAAAGTCGACAACGTCGATAAAAGTAACGTGTTAAAGTGACGAATTTACGCGTGGTCACAAGATATTATCTTTTGATATTTAAAATCCATAAACTGTTATGGTGGTATTATGTAAAAATAACGTAAATGTGAAAGTTCAATATATAATAGTTACTTAAAATTACTATATCTAATACTATTTTAACGATTGATATAAAAATATACTGATTTTCGCTTCACTAAATTATCACAGCGAATATTAATTACATTCCCCACACAAACTGTTTTATTGCCAACAGACGTAATATTCGTAGAAACAAAATAGCATGTTGGCTGCAGTTCCGTCATAAAGTACATTCACTTTTAAGATTTACAAATGATTGTAATGCCAGAAAACCTAGTTTTTGCTTAAATTCAGACATTTGTTACTTTCTAACATAATATTTTTTAGACTCTTACAGCTTCTTATTTAATAACTTCACCAGTTGTTTCGTAGAAATTAAACAGAATTCAAATTCCAATTACCATTCTAATAGTCAAATTGAAGAGCCTTTATTTAATTTGTATGACGTTTGACATTCCCTTAATCTACACAATTTGTATGAGTTGTTAACAGAACTTACCAATTTCTTTATATATTAGTGATAATTATTTACATATCGAAACCATATAACAGTATACAATTTCGCACATCCGTTACTTATAGTGTATGAAGTTCATTCTATTACAGTATACTGATGATACTGGTAAACAATCAACAATCGATAACTTGAAAGATGGCGGTTATACAGTTATGGAACAATACATTTTAAGGCCTTTTACTTTTTGTCGTCTAGAAATAATGCAGAATATGAACAGATTTCACATTCAATTTTTAAACAAATTAATATTGCAGTGCATACTATGGTATTTAATTCTAATGTTATTTTCTATTCCATCTCATTTAAATTTTTTAAAAAAGAAAAAACCAAAAGTTATGTTGTTAAGAAAACATTTACCTATATTATACAATATGGTTCAGAGTTTATTACATATGGTCCCAAAATTATCGCAGTTGTGTGAACCGCGCAATTGGTGTTATTTATACATGTACGTATATACGTAGATCATGAAAAACCCTGGAACTTACATGCTATTCCACTTCAAGATTGAGATAATGACTTTCATAATATATGAGCTGTATGAAATTTTTAAAGAAGAAACAAGTGTCAAGTTTAAAGGCAGTAAGAAAAGTATTATACCTCATAATTTATCCATAAAATGCAAAAGAGAGTCAAATATCTATACAAAAGTACACACTTTATGTAAGACTACATTCTGCATATTAAGTAACAGTGCACATTACAAATCCGTCTCTGTTGTCCGAATGTTTTTCATAAAACATTCAACACACATCATTACTGACACAAACAACAAACATGTGAAAAGTTAGGTTTTATATACAACATGCTTTTTGGCACTATTTAAGACTTTTGTCTGAAAACAATAAATCTATTGTATCAAAATATATATCCTTACTGACGTAAGCAAGAATATACATACTTTTTGCAATTTTTTATATAAAATATAATTCTTCTTATCTGGTAATTTTAGGATGCATAAGATAAATGTATGTATGAGTGCTATTGACAATCTTCTTCAAAATAGCTCGGGTCCTTATACCATCCTTTTAACCACCATCTTTTTAGTACAATACAGCAATAATGCATATGTGATATAATATAATTTTGCTAGGTATTATACAAATGTACCTATTTCATAATGTTTTCTCTCTTTGGTATTTAGAAGGAGTTAATATAACTCAGCTAGTTATGATATTAAATAGTAGTTATTTCATTTAAGTTCATATGTTGATCTTCAGTTTATTATTATATTTAACAACAATAATCAGTAACTAATATTGGCTGCAGTAAAAAGCATTAGATTCGATTAATAATAAAATTTATTTTTATGTCAAATATTAAAATTGATTTAAAAGGTTGGATATATAAAACCTAGAAAATATTCATGAAAAAATTATATTTCATATTTCAAAAATGAAAGCGATTGTATAATTATATAACTTAGTTTTGTATAAAATGATGTGTTCGTTAATAATAAAAAAAACTATAAAAAGTGCAACCTAGCCACAATTCAGCTGCAAAAACATTCTGTTTTACTGCAATCAATGAAGATTATAATTTTTCGGTGTTTTTATGTATTAGAATCATCTTGCCATTTCAAATTTTATATTACATACTCATATAACTACAATATATATTCAAGTAAACTTACTTTCTTTATTTTAATGAATTATAATATTTTATATATAAGATACATATTTATTATGTACTGACTAATCTTTATATTTTACTTATCAACTTTCTTTTTTAGAGTGACCACGAGCTATTTCATAACCATAAAATTTAAACTACTATTTAGTAATATCGCTTGCAAGGCAACTGTAAAACTAAAGATCTGTAATAGCCCCTTTAAGTTATACTAAATTACACTTCACTACAGTGGCTTCGTATAATATTTCCGTAGTTGACAGTAGTTCGTTATAAATATATGTTGTGTAAATCTCAAGACATCTTCAAAGAAATGACGACATTATTCAGACTGAGCTTCCCGTAACATTTAAAACAAAACTCATAAAACAACAAACATTCATCAAACGACCGGCGTAAGGAAGATCCGCTGCGTCATCACCGAGTCATGTATTTCAAAACTCTAATACCTAAATGAACACATGAAATACAATCCGTCGCAACGCGAACGTTTGTCGGAGCGCCCGAACGGAACGGCGACATAAAACTAATATTAAATAATTACAATTCTTAAACGTAAAATAAACTCAATAATATACATAATTACATTATATATTCGAAAAAAAAAATGTAACAAAAATCGGCACAATCAACATACGAGGAAGGCCCGACTAAGATCGCCGCTCTAGAATGACTCGACGACTGTCGAGCCGACTCTATTTACATAAAATACAATCGCTCATTCTCTCGCGTCGGCAGTGTTCCGATAAAAAAAATTACGCTAATGAGCGCGGTCAGCGCTCGTGTTGGCGCAGCAAAAGATTTAAATCGTTAGATGTACTTTGTCACCCAAACACTGTGGCACTGTCCATGAATGTGCATGTTCAGTGTTCTAACGAAACTCGTCACGCGCACACTTATGGATTCCACAGGAACGGGACTGAAAAAAACGTGTCATCTACTCGTACAACTATCGTCTCTCGTCTACGATCGCCTTACTTAATTCAAGTTTTTTTCTTTTGACGGAAGAATACAAACTAGTATGTATTACAAATCATCTCAGAATGCTTAGTCAACTCTCTGAATGCATACGATGTTACTTTAAAACTTGTCAAGGTAATCACTGCGATCGTAAACCGACGACGTGACGTCACCGCACAAACGGCGAGCGAGTCCGCAACGGGGAGCGAGCACACGTACGATTGAAACCTTCTGCGCAGCATGTACTAGGAGCAGCGCCGGTGCGCGAACCGGCAGACGTCGCAGCGCTAGCTGCGCGCGCGTCACATCGCCGGCCGCTCCCAGTCGACGGCGGCGGGCGGCGGCGCGCCGCTCCACGCGCCCCAGCGCTCGCGCCGGAAGAACCGCTTTTTAAAGTGGTGCGCGGCCAGCGGCGACGGCGACCGCCCGCCCGCGCCCGCGCCCTCCCCCGCGCACGGCCCCGCCCCCGCGCCCGCCCGCGCGCCGCCCGCGCCCGCCGCCGCCGCGCGCGCCGCCTCGCCGTGCCCGATGCCCGAGTCGGGCGACGTGTTGCACGCCTCGTCCGACCGCCGTCGCTTGTCTTCCATGGCGGTCGATGCGAACGATATAATCTGATCGAACCGAAATGCGATTCTGTCCTGCCATTTGCTCTCGTCGACCTCTTCGCCGCCTTCTCCTTCTGTGGATGAGGAGGTTTACAATATTAATAGGAAGTTTACATAGTAGAAACTTGTAGGAAAAGACACGGTCGGTAGGGTTTAAAGAATATTATAAAATTACCTGGTCAATAAAGTCTGTCAAGTATATCGATAACAGAGTGCATGATATCTTATCAAAAACATAAAAAATGTGACGTAACGTTAACATAAACTGTCACGGTTGCAACATACCTGGAGGGCGGCCACCGTCAGGCAATTCGTCGACGAGAGGCGTGGACGTGTTAGAATGCGGATCGAGCGGCGGAGTGCGACGTCGCATACTCTCTTCGGACTCACCACCACTGCCGGCACTCCCGTTGCGTCCACGCCAATAATCTGATGCGAGTACTCGCGCCTGTAGACATGCTGCTAAACCTGTTCGATAACACACTTTATGTATTAACTAGCTGTTCCCGCGACATCGGCCGCGTGGAATTTAACATTATTTTTCTAAAATAAAAGTAGTCTAAGTTACATCAGCTACCTGCTAAAAAAAAGTCTTGTCAAAATCTGTCTAGCCATTTCAGAGATTAACCGGAACAAACAGACCGACAGACAGACAAAAATGGTAAAAAATGTTATTTTGGTGTTTGTACCGTATTTATATTCATATGTTACATATTACTACATGAGTAAAAAACGGTTATTTCAATATTACCAACAGACACTCCAATTTTATTTATATGTTTAGATGTATATATAGATTACAATACTTGATTTCCACATTGGGCACTGTAAATATTTTATTTCTTAATCATTTTTACCTATAGGTTTGCTGGTGCTGTACAATTTAGTTCAAATTCCCATGAAAAATCTATGTACTTACTGGAACATCTTGTGCCAAGTTTAATATTTTGAAATGAATAAATTTTGTATATATCAGTCAAACACATTGACCGCCTAGAGAATAGACCGAATATGATCAGTATGTTCTCTGCTTTCACTGTCGATTGAAGAAAGAACATACTTAAATGTTATTATCGCGAATATCGCGAAAAAAATGTGAATGTCTATTTAATGTTCATTAAAACCTATCAGCTGTTTAATTTATCATGTTACAATACAATTATATAATAGGCCGATATTCTAAAAGTTGCGAATTCTATTGATCAAATTAATTTTCGAGGAAAAAACATAACTTAAATTGAGATTACACATATTATAAATAATTGTGAATTGTGTTTAACAGTCTCTACTATGTATATAGTTTATACTACTAGTCTCTACCTGTAATATAATATATACCTTCAAGTGGGGGTTGATGAGGCGTGCGGTCGGGTTCGTGATAGCGGGCGCTCATATTGACAGTTGCATTGATGATACTTTGGTTGGAGATCTCGAGCGTCCGTTCTATCTCCCCATTAACAAGGTCGCCAATAGTGCGAGCGCCAGGTGCTGCCAATCGCTCCTGTGACAAATGTCGTCGCAGCGCCAACTTCGCCGGTGACACCTGTTACAGTTGTTGATTTACCAACTCGCTTTATAAATTTAATATAGTGAATAATAATAATATGATAGTAAATTTTGTTTAACAAAATATTAGACATTTTTTACACAGTACAGTCGCTATTATAAACATTTTAAGTAACATTGTGGTTAATAATGAGATGTTCAGTGTGGTGGTAGCAAGGATTCTACAATACTTTGTTAATATTTATTATAAAATCGTAAAAAAATATTAAATTACGAATATACGGTGAAGTTGTGAAAAATATTAATATTACAGAAGAGCTGTTACACTGCCAACTATCTTAATTAGGAAGTGCGTCATTACAAACCATATCAATTTCAAACATAAAAAAAGAAAGTAAATTTTAAGACACTATGTTAACGAATCAATTTTGCTTTAAATTTAAAGTTGTTATAGTTAAATTATACTTTAATACTTTAACCTTATTATAAATTTATTAAACGTAACATGTTCGAAACTCAAACATCATATCTTGTAAAATTGATTTTACCCTTCAATCGAAACGGCTTATAAAGCCAGCTGGTCGGCAGCGGTCGACACTTCGTCACATGAATGTGCGTACCTGCGTGTAGTCGGGCTGATGCACGTGCGCGGGGTGGTGGCGCATGTCGGGGGGCAGCCGCGGCGGCTCGCGGCGCTCGTACGCGAAGCGGTCGCGGCGCGAGTCTCGGCTGGCGCGCGGCTGCGGGCCCGCCGCGCCACCGCCGCCCGACCGCGCCCCGTGGGCCCCGTGGGCGGCGTGGGTCGCGTGGGTCGCGTGGGTCGCGTGGGTCGCGTGGGTCGAGTGGGGCGAGTGGGTCGCGTGCGTCGGATGCGTCGCGTACGACCCATGCGCCGCGCCCGCAGCCCGCACGTAACCGTTGCTGTAGGCGTGGCTCGGCGCCGGCTGCCGCGTCGCCTTGCGGTGCTCCTGGTCCTCGTTGAGCACCGACGTGATGATGCTCTTGAGCCGGTCCTCGAAGTTGATCACCTTCGGCGATTCCTGCACCTTGGCGACGACGTTGAGCGGCTTCTGCGGCTTGACGGGCGAGTGGCGGCGCGCGAGCGGCGGCGGGTGCGCGGGCCGCGCGGCGTGCGGCTGCGCGCGGTGCACGGGCGCGGCCGGCCGCTGCGGCCGGTGCGCCTCCGAGTGCCGGTCGGGCTCCCGAGCGTATCCGTTTACGATCACGTTCGGCTTAGAGATCTTCCCGGCTTCGATCTGTCGACCGGTCTCTAGGATCTTTTGCGCCAGTATTTCCGGATTCTGCTCTTCGATCTTTCCCACGTCCGGCACGTCGGGCCACTCCTGGGACCTCGAACGATGTTCCCTGGATTTTCTCGGTTTCGAGTTGACCGTGTGAGGTTTAACGGTGGCCACCGGCACACAGGAGGGGATCACTTTTTGTTGCTCACCAGCTCTTTCCATTTGGCCGATTTCATTTTGAAGCAGGCCCACCTGTGCATGTAATCTTTTTCTATGTGCCAATGTGGCCGATATTTCTTTTAATATACAATCGTGTGCAATATTCTGAGTGATTTCTACGTCCGCAGGTATGTGACCTAATTGTCGATATTTCTCAGTTATTTCAAATGTTCTTTGTTTAACAAGCATAGCCTGTTCAGCTTCAATATTGTTTACCTAAAAAGTTATTTAAAATTTTATTACGGTTTTACTCATATACATACAATAATAAAATTGTGATATTGCATCAGTATATATAACGGTAGAGTATTGACGAAAAATACAGTATTTTATATGAACATATAGATTTCGAGTGATATTAGTAACCTTTGCCTTCTGTATACTTATAAAAATAATATATAAATACTAAATACCTGTGCCTGCAGTTTGCTTGCTTTACTTTGCAATTCTTTATGTCTTCCTACAATCTCCTTAGCTTTTGCCAACAAATCCACTGTGTTATTTGCATGTATACCTAATTCGCTCATGCGCGCTTTTAACAAGGCGACACTGTCGCTAATTAGTACGTTGATCTGTTTATCTAATTGTGACGCTCTTGATTTCAATTTTTGATTTCTTTCCTGTTAAAAAAAATTTAAGAAAAAATAAGTTATAGAATAAAAAATATTATTATGGTAAATATCTACTACTACATAATGTCTATAATTATAGAATATAGTTTATTGGATCGTCTTAGGATATTCTTTAGGATACTTAGTAACATGGAGAGACTTTAAAGATTTTTAATACTTTCAAGCATTCATTAACATTCCACTTTGCTGCATGAGTACTTTTAACTTTTTGTAATATTGACATATTAGAAAAAAAGAATTCGAATTGAAATTTAATAAAACTTCAAGAATTCATTCACTTGTGCTAATGTAATACAGTTTGTAATTAAAAAAGAAATACTCATGGACATCTATTTTAAAAACAGAGCAATCAAAGTAGATGTTATATTATTATGCATATGGGGTAGTAATTAATAGAAATACTTCAAATTTTTTTCTTAGTATATTATATCCATACATTTTATACACAGACAACACCAAGACGAATACAAACAGACCACATTTCTATATATATTTGGACTGCATCAAACAGACTGTTAATGTATTAATCACATTTACAATAAACTTTGATTGAACAATCTATACATTATTTTTTTATTATAATTCATCTTTAGATTATTATTTATTTACCTTCTCTTTATCTATTTGGTGTCGAATTTCAAGAGCGTATTCAGGTGAGTTCATACGATTAATGAAAGCAAGATATTGATCTCTGAACATGTCGAGCAGTAACTGTAAGCTGTACGGCGTGTGCGGTGAGCGTGGTATATCTAGTTCTGAGTGCAGCCGGTCTGCGGGCTGCAGTTGTACGCCCAGCGCAGATAGACGCTGTTCTACGCACCCAGGAGGCGGTACAGTCACCTGTTGTTACAAAAAATACATCTATGTAAATGTATGAAAAATGGAGCTTTCAAAGAAACTAGTATTATGTTAATTCATTACCAACAACATGACATATGACTAATTCATGTTTTCAATGAAAAACAAAGCAAATAGTTACTCATTGGCTGCAAACTTATTAACCACACACAAATTATTGCTTTCTTATAGTTTATAATAATGAAATATTAGGTTCAAATAGATATTTTTGATCAAGGTCTAAGTTACTTTATAAACAAAATATACTCCCTTATATATTATTTGTTAATAACAATGTATTAGATGATATAGGTATATATTAATATATCGAACATGGGTTAACTTGAGTTACACGCTAAATTTTGAGTCTGGGGGAAAGGGGATTGTTAGTAATGTGTATACTATATAGACTAATAACCGCATTGCTAGTCATGTACGATGTTAAGTTGCCCTCCACATGGTTCTCCCTGAAAACCATAGTAATAAATCCATGGCGAATTTACCACGATAGGCTAACTGATCTGACCTCATACTCATCATTCTACTGGTACCCCGCCAGCGTACACCGTTAACGCAGGCGCGTGCATAATTCCATAATAATTTGTACATATAAATAAAATTGGAGTGTCTGTTTTTAATATTGAAATAACCGTTTTTTACTATACGCATATGAATATAATCACGGAACATACGCCAAAATAACATTTTCTAAAATTTTTTTTCTGTCTGTCTGTTTGTTCCGGCTAATCTCTGCAATGGCCGGACCGATTTTGACGGGACCTTTTTTAGCAGGTAGCTGATGTAATAGGGAGTAACTTAGGCCACTATTATTTTAGAAAAATAAAGTTAAATTCCACGCGGACGAAGTCGCGGGAAAAACTAGTCCATAATTTTATTATGCACCGCTGGTCTAAATTGTTAAACTACAGATAAGTAACAAAAGACTATTTTGCATTAGAAGAAATTACTTCAAACATCAACACGCACATAAAAATCATCGTATAAAGGGCGCCATTACACTTGAAAGAATTACATTTCATGTAACATATAAACACTGTCATCAAATTACAGATGAGGGTAGTATACGTAATGCACTATCAGTGTATATACGATTTTGTCGTCCTAAACAAAGTTAATTATGACTGAAAGCCAATAATCAGTCATACCCTATTTCATTGTGCGTAAAAAACGTAGTACACTTACGGCGCCATTGCGTAATGTCGACGCAAGTGTTGTGGAGTGCAGTAAGTCGAGCCCGGCAATCAAAGGTGTTGGACCGCGACGACGTTTGGCTCGGGCGGCTCGTCTACGGGCGCCACCTACACTTGCACTACGTTTGCTCGTCGACCGTCTGCTGCGATCTACAAACAAAAATATTCTTTGAAATTCACTACCTTCAAGTCAGGTCTTCTACATGGAAGACAGAAAAACAATTGCCACGCAATTCTTTACTCTTACTAATATTTGTTATGTATTTCTATGATTTCTTCAGATATGCACATCTCGGTCTCAAAGACGGGTCTATCTCGTAGTGATAAGACATAATGACCCGCAAATCAGGAACAGGTCAAGTTGACAATTTTCACCTGATTCAAAATTTCTAGATGGTTAAGAAACTTGTGTTATGAAGCTTTCACTAAGCTTCTCATATCACAACTGTATAAACATTTAGATATTATGGATCGGGGCGAAATAAGTGACTAAAAAGCCTAGAGACCTAATATAAATCATAAGTTTTATTACTATGAGATAGACCGGTTTTTGTATAACATAGTTATAACCAGTTTCATCTAACACATATTTTAAGTCTAAGTATTAAGTCATCGTTGTTAGGCATAGGAAAGTGAAAAACTTGATTTTTGACGAACAGAAATCGTGATCAGCTCGACCTTTTGAAACTAATTTCAACAGTCGACATTTTAATTAACATGTCGTTACCTTGCCATGTACTCTTCAATTATATAAAAACTAAACGATACTGTACTGTAAACGGTTTACTTCCAATTGTAAAAGCAACAAACTTGAATCTGAAGAGGAGGCCCATGGTGCACCCCATTCTCGCGGCGCAGGTTCGGGTCCTGGTGGTGCATCGTCAGTACCACTTGACTCTTCGTCGGTTTCATCGCTGGAGCGGCGCGCCACACGTCGCTTCGCTACTGCTGCACGTGCTCTTGTTCTCCCATTCTCACCCCTATCAAAAAAAATATTACATTGCGAATTCAAACATTGTGAGGCATCATTACATCATAACTGTCTAAATAGTTATATTTACACAGTTTAGCTGTACGATAAATATGAGAGATTATTTAACAAAGTATGTATAATGCAATGATCTTATTGATTATGAGACAATAGGTATTTTTATTCCACGCATTTAGAACTACAAAATTGTGGATAAGTCAATGAAACATAATCAATGACGATTGTTTATGTATTATAGTGAGATGATTGTTTACCTGACGGGTCTCGCTCGAGTTACTTTTCTTCTGCGCTCAGGCAGCGAGCCGGTGCTGTGGTTACTATTGCCGTTGAGCAGGTCAGGCGTGGGTTGCCGCGTTGGCGGGGCACTCAAATGCCGTTTACTGCTTCCTTCGCCTTCCTCACAACCGTTGTGCGCGCCCTGATAAATTTAACACCAATTAATACTACATTTATACACCACAGTAAAATTTAGTATTGCATTTCATGTTTATAACAATGGCAAGCAAAGGTAAAAATATATTAGCTATACTAAAGCAGAGATGTAATATCAAAAAGATTTTATAAGGAATTTTATTATATCTTAAATGCTATGAATTTAAAAATAGAGAAATAGCCAAGCATACGTCTTGTCACTGATCAATAGATAATTATAGGTGTTATTTTGAATGAATATGAGTAACATTACTAGTTGATAAATAAATACATTTATATGTATATACTTATGTACATAATACAATTACTATGTAACATATACAAGAATATTTAACAACAATGAATATTTATGACAAAACATAATACCATATAATATATAAAATCTATATAATAGTAAGATGATGTGATTGGAAACAGACCCTTTTGCTGACCTTGAGTTTCGGGTTTTTCAGTCTTTGAAAGTATCTCTCCAATTTGGTCCTATCTATAATATGTAAATAATAAGATACGGGCTTCCCAGTCCATGAGACAGATCCTTTCAAGGGTGACATTTCACTGACGTGCATGATGGTCCCGATGTCGCTTAAGTTTCTGTCAGTTATTCTGAAGTTTAGAGGACAAAAACTTTTTGATGACACAATCTTTGCACCATCTTTCAAGTCAGCAAACCGTTCTTTCAACTGATGATCTACATGTGGACCGAATGCGAAGTTATTAACAAAAACGATAGTGGCAGCGTTGATTTTTTCTCTATGTTCATCCAACAAAAAATCGCCTTTTATTAATTTATATTCTCCGTATTTCTTGCCATACCATCTCATCCACATTCTAAAGTGAAAGTCCATACTCTGAAAATAAAATTGTAGAGCAATATAAAAATATGTATAGCAATAATAATTAATTATGTATTATAATAACGATCATATATCAAAATTTATGTGTAACATATATGTACCTCAGCGTATTTGCTAGGAACTTCTGCTTTTTCAACACCAAGGCAAACGCGGCACGGTGTGGCGGCTGCCATCTGCAATACAACTTGGCCTACTCCAGAGCCCAAGTCTACAAAAACATCTTCTGCTGTTATATCTATCTGATCAATCATTTGGCTTATTAACTCATATGACGTCTCTCCATATACCTGGAAAACATACAATACAACATGAAAAATAACCAATCCTAATTTCCTTAATTACATACACTTATAATCAAATGCTTATAATGTAGCAGTACTTAGACTGCATGGTTCTCACCTCTGGTGAAAATGGTTCATATTGATTGAGCTTATCAGGATCAGAGACAGCTTGATTGTATGTTTGTTGCAAGATATGCTTTAACAATCCTCTCGATGGATATTTGTTTAAACGTTGTGTCGGTAATGAAGTGCCTTTTTCCTGTAAAAAAACAATTATAAATTTAAAAATCACACAAATTTAAATTGTAGCGATGTTGTAACGCGGGAATCATTGTAATATATAAAGTTAATTAAGAATAGTATACAACAACAGCATTATTAAATATATCAAAATTGGTACCACTAATACGAATACACAATAACATTCGAGGAGTGTTTTACACAATAATATTTTGCTCAATAAAATAATACACGAGGTAAAATAAACAAATTTCTTTTTGTTTACTTTTGCCTATCAAGTACACTATATATAAATTGATTTATGAAAACGTGTTTGAATGTACACAAATTTGACCAAAACCGGCACAGAATAAAAATTATATTATCTCTATAATTTTTGTAGCCTTGACATTGCCGGCATGGTGAAATGACCGATCAATACAAGCGCTACGTCATTTAAGAGCAATGTTGATAGCCTTGAATGAGATCAACAAATCAAGGTTTGCAGTATAGATAGGAAGTTACAAATATACTATATACCTACTAGATCTAAACAATCAGACAGGTCGTTACCGCCACTATACATAGACAAGATTAAAAAACATGTGACCATATCACGCGTTGATCATATTGGTGCAAACAAACTCACTACACAACTAGAAGTAACGGTATATCGACTAGATTTATGGTTACTATAAAATAATAGTACTCACAGTAGAATTAGTACATATACAATAGCTGTTAATGCCTAGAAATATAGCAAAAATCGAAGGGTGGGTACGGTACGGTAAGGGTGGATGGGTAACTTATGTGAAGTGAGAAAATAAAGGAATGTCATCTATAATGTGTTTTTCATTGAGTATGAACTAATGATTTAGTAAATTATCTTTGATTATAACCGGTAAATACCGACAAAGTACGAGTTACATACGAGTAGCTTCTGGGAACCCTAAACAAGTAATTTAATAGATCTTTTCGGCTACAATACTTTTTCACCTTTTTCATTTTACGAATTCTTTTATCTTTTAATATAATTTAAGCCATTATACCAGTCCTAATCAACCTTCAAACTCCAACTCATATTGGTCGATCCACCACGAAATCTACTTATTAAAACGTATCCAAAGTAGAATATTATTGTAAATTACCATTTGGTAATTTACAATAATATAATTATACAATATCCAATGTTGGTTATTATATAATTATATCATATAAAGATATTAACAGTTTTTTAATAAAAGAATATGTTCAATGTGTGTGTTTGTGGTATATGCTACTAAACATTATATATAATGAAAAACAGAAGACGATTCATAATAATAGTAAATCATTCACTCAGTTAATTGATTTCAATATAATTTTAGAAAAAATAAATTGTTTCACCTTAGGATAGAGTATTAAAAATACGAAAATACGACATTATAGTTTGTAAAAAATAAAGTCGGAGGTCAGGTGCATGCGACGAACACGTGCAATGAACATCTGCTGCCGACGACTAGTTCTTTTAAACATTTTTATTCGGAATTTGAACCAATTATAGTTACACTTTATAACTAAATATTATCAAAAATGAAGTAGTTTTTCAAATTTTATTGTAAATATAATGCTCATTTTATCTATAACCAATGGAAAACTCACATAGAGCCATCTAATCCCTAGTTAAGTAATAGAGCTTGAATAATGGGCAGGTACCTACTAAGCAACTGATAAAAATACTTAATATATATATTTTCTGTAAATAAAATACATACGGACATATATATATATATATATATATATATGTATATATAATATAGTACTTTTCAATATATTTAACAACCAGACCAATACAATCACAGTTATGAATAATGTTGGCATCGTGCGACGAGTCGAACCCGCGACCATCGGAAGTAAAATTATAAAACCTTTACCGATTGGTTAATGTTTGTATAACTTGTATCTACGTTTAATTCGTTATGTAGAGATGTATAAGCTGCTATATTTAGCGGGAACTGGAAAATCAATAACGACCTCTATAAGGTGGCGGTGGCCGCCGTGGCCGGCTATTGCGACACACGTGACGTATACCTAGTCACTAGTGGCGTACCATCTCGTTTTAATAAACGTACAAACACAAACACAAAAACCACACTCTATACAATTTAAATTAATTGCCAATTCATAGATTATTTTTCCTTTATATACACTATGTGATATTCAATCACATAGTGTTTTAATTATCCATACTATTTGGCAAATAAGTAAAATAACTACATAGTATATAATAAACATCCCTGTTAAAACAGAATGTTATATTGCATATTTTTTTATGTCATTATCATAAATTATAATTAACATCATCTAAAAACTAAAACTATACAAAGAAAGAACAGCGTTATTATTTATAGGGCACAATTGTAATGGCTAAATATTATCTACTATTGTTGAAATTCTAACAATGATCTCTTTTTCAAACTGCCAGTATTGCTGATCGACCTCAATCCAATAAGACTACAACATATACAACCACATAATATTACGTTATATTTATATAACGATATCAACCATACATATATCACAAAATTAAAAACATTCACTTTTGAGTCGATTATATTACATATATTTAAGTAATTGAAATACAATAATGAATATAAATCATCAGTCTGTGTGTGTACACAGCACCCCAATTTCTCAGTAACATAATAATGCGTAGGTAACTGGGTTAGGGGAAGATGCGTGACAAATCGATATCAAACACGGAGTACATGCAGAGAGGAAAGCGTCACAGCGCTTAGTTACTCACGAAACCTAGTGAGTAACTAAGTGCTGTGACAGTTAATTCTAAAGTTTATTTATACGAGATTAATGCTTGTCAGTTATCATAAACATTCTATAAAAATTGTTTCGATAATAGTTACTTCAAGTAAGTATTGATGTAAATGTGATGAACTCTTTAGATTTCCCTCAAATTGAACAATATTCATACAACAACAACATATTGCCTTTGCAGTGTTTCCAATGTTACACTGCATTTAGATAAAGCACTAAACATTCGCAATTTATCCGTATGATTCTGAAAGATAAAATAAATTTAAAAAAAAGGTTCCTTTTATGTTGTTGTCTTCTCACATTTTAGTTAAGACACGTGGGAATTTACGGTGCGCCCAAGAAAGGCCATTGTAAAATTTATGGTGCTTCAAAAATAATAATATTTCAGGAAAATTCACACAGCGTCATCTAGTCACAAGCTAAGTAGAGCTTGTGTTATGGGTACTGGACAACAGATATAAATACATAGATACAATTCTTGTGCCTAAAGTTTATATATTGTCTAAAAATAAAATATATTAACAAGAATAAGCGATTTTATTATTTATCGTAGAATACTATAGTGGATAGAATGTTTCACTAATGAGCGTAAAAAGTTATGACGTTAGTTTAATCTGGATCCCTTAAATGTCAAAACGTTCTGGCTATGGAGTGTTACTCTAGAGTAATAATAATCCAACGTGCATTAGTTGCATACCACGGATGTTAGGTGTTGATGGATTAAAATAAACGAGCTGCTGTTTCTAGCAAGATGTTCAAACAAGTCTAGTGGCGGAGTCATATTTCACACATACGTCTCCAAGACAAGATGATTTACATGCATGACGATGCCAAAGGAGCAATGAAATAAACGGTTGGGATAGCTTCCGGGTAGGCGAGTTTTGATGCAATCTCATCATGCTGATCATCACGATCACACTAATATCATAATATAATCTCATTTATTAACACATTAATTCGGTATATTCTGTTATTGTCAGATGTACCTACGTCAACCAGGAGAAACTTGGGTAATACTCGTAATATTGTATCCAGGTATTATGGATTTTTTCTGACTCACATAGCATACGCTAATATAAAACACACGTTGCGTCACTGACTATAGATATGTAATCTAACCATGTTTTGTGAAAATTAGAAAGCGGCCCTTCACGATAATTTGCTGCAATACTGGTACCAACTAGCACTCACCTTCATTCATTGTAATACAATCGTGTGTTCTATGATACAAACACATTTTTAAAAGTACCAATAGTATTAATCTTCCGTAGTCTGAGTACAATATGTTACGAATCTAATTATTATTTCTCAAACTGAGAACCGGATAAGTGTTTGAGTAAAAAAAAGGATCTATGTTTGAGCACAGATCAACTCTGGCGCAGCCAAAAAAAAGGTCATTAACTCTACGTAAGACATTCGCGTTCCCTCTATATTACGGTCATCGCCCCCACATGCGGCCATAACGAACGACTATTAGTCTGCCGACTATTAGGTACCTAGTATCATACTGAAGTCAATTTCGGTAATCTTAGCATTGTTCTATTTTGCCCATATTTACATTTATGGTAGTAAAACAACACATTTTCAAAAACCATAAAGTCTAATATACCTACTACAAATACATGGTACAAGTATGAGTAGGACGAGAAGGAGTTCGTTCAAGGTTCCTACATAAACCTACCAGCTTCTAAGCCTATTCAGCGGAGGGAAAGGGGATTGTTAGTAATGTAGATTGATGATCTTATTGCTAGCAATGTACCATGTCAGGTCGACCTCCACGCGGTTCCCCCTGGAAACCATCGTGATAAATTCTTAGTGAATTTTTCACGATGGGCTAACTGGTCTGATCTCATGCTCATCTTATCATCCTCCACTGATGCCCCGCCAGTGTAAACCGTTAGCGCAGGCGGGTGCACCAATCCATTATCATTAAAAAAAAAAGCCTATTCAGCAGCATAATCATACCACAGGACACACATAATATGAAAAGATGTTATACACAATGATAATGACAATATGCCCTGGAATTATCTGATAGAAAACTGTAACATTAACATTAAACTGTAACTTAAACAACACCATAGAGATTGTAATATACACCGCCAATAGTAACCTTCATACGTTTGTTCTCGTTCTTTTATATTGTAACTCAATACTCGATATTTTATTGTATTGCTATATTTCAACCAGAGTGGCATATTTTATTAATTTACATGACGTGTATATTGC